TCACAATTCTGCATGTCTGGGGAGGCCTCAGGAAATTTCCAATCCTAGTAGAAGGCAAAGGGGAAGAAAGTCATATCTTACACGGCAGCAGGAGACAGAGAGCCGGGAGCAGGGGGAATTGCCAAACACTTTTAAAGCCTCAGATCTCATGAGAACTTCCTAGCATGAGAATAGCCTGGGGAAAACTGACCTCCATGATCCAATAACCTCCCACCAGGTCCCTCCTTGACATATGGGGATTACAATTTCAGATGAGATTTAGGTGACAGAGCCAAACCATAAGCCAAACACAAAGAGTGACCTGTCACCATGATTAAAACACTGTGTTATGTGGGGGTTGTCATTTTCTTAATATTCGGCAAACCTGGTTCAGAGCATGCAGGGATGGTGATGTAGGGTAAACCACTGACTCACAAGAAAATTCAGTGGAAACAGCCCATGTTTAGGCTTAGGAGATTTTCTGACCCTTGAAAAATAGGAAAGTTATCTGAGGGAATAGGGAAGAATCAAATTGGTGGACTTGATAGGAAGAACTGAAATAAAATGTTCTCAGCTATGAGAGAGAAGACTGCTGTGATGAGAAAAGTTAAGTGAAGAGTCCCTGGAGCATAGGAACAACTTTATCTTCTATGCTAAGTGGAAGATTTTAGACTCTGGCTAAACATGGAAGTCAAGACTATGAAAGAGGAAGAGGGTGTGAGGATAGTATGTAATCTCAACTTTATAGAGAAACAAAAAACCAATGTCAGTACTGTGACAGAAAATTAAAAATATGTTAAACCAGCTTTATTCATATGTTGAACCTAGCTGACATTGGGTTCTACAACAGAAACAAAAATTGGTATTTTAATTAAGGTAAATTTAAGAAAAACAATGGAATTGTATAGGACTTTGGATGAAAATTAGCTTGTTCACATTTACCAAGATAGTTGTTTCTGGTGATAATTGCCCTTCCTTTTAACAGTGTCTCTTCATTTTTATCTGTCTGCATTATTTTACTTCTGTAACCACTGCCTCTTTCCTGAAAAGGTTCAATCATTCCGGTTGAGGTTGAACAGAAGTCACCCGCCTCGATCAGAACCATGGACAGAGGAATTTCACATAGGCTCAAGGAACTTAGTGCCATGAGAACCGTACTGCATAGAAGAATTTGAATAACTAGTGAAGAAAGAAAATACAGATGATAACATCCTCCCCAAATTGTTTTTCCCTAATCCCACGACTGTTTTATAGACTTGCCCAAATTGTGGTGCATGCAAGTCTGGTACTTCGAGAATAGACAAACACCAACACACACACACACACACACACACACACACACACACACACCTTGCAATGCTTCTTATAATTCAACCAGTGGAGCTCTAACTACAAATGTCAAGGGAAAGGGAAACTTAAGTCATATACAATGAAAGCACCAAAGGAGTGTTATTCTAATTAAAATCTTGTTTCACATTTGGAGAAGGTACTCATGTGACTCTGTTCACTATCATTGAGTAAAAGTAGTTTCATCAAATTGATGCTGTGTAACCATGGGCATGTATCACTCAGATACCCCTTAGAGAGAATCTGCTGACAGCAGGATAGTTGGGTAAGAGCCTCCAGCTGCCACACCTGCAGTATCCACTGCAGCATTCACCCCGAGGCTACACCCTCCCCGAGCTGCTCCCAACCAAAGGCTAAACTTGGTGGAGATAATAGACCTGGCCACTTGTACCCAATGAAAGGCTCCACTAGTAAGCAAACTTTTCTCTCCATTTGTCTGAATGACTTTCTTTTATCCTCATTATAGTCAATTTCAGGCTTTTCATACCCAATTCTCCTTCCTACTCCATATACTTTCACAAACGTAAGAACTGTGTCATGGTCCAACAGCTCTTCTCACCTACTTCTGCTATCTCTCCATTTTATCTCTGAGACATTTCTGCCCAATAAACCTCTTGTACTTTTCACATTGAGTTGCTGTGTGCTTTGTGTATGACTCCTTGCTGACACAGATGACAAAAGTTAACAAAATCTTATAAAACCACTCAAGGGTATAAATGTTAAATTCATTGATTTCACCAAAACATGTGTCCTTCCCACTTTCTCTTGCCCCTTTTATTTTTCTGTCACCTCTTCTCTCTCCCTCTTCCAGTTTTTCCCCAGAGCCTGTCTGACCTTTTATCATCACAGATAGGAAAAACAGAATGAAATTTACCATGTCTTTTCTGCCAACACTTATAGGAAATGTACAGACAGCTAAGCAGAAATCAGAAAGCAGAATTATTAATTTCATTATCTGGTTTCAGTGTATATAGCTTATTAATTTGTTTTACTGTGTATAGATTATTCTTTCATTGACACTTGAGTAAACTAAGGAAAGGATGAATGTGGTTTGGCTCTGAACTGATTGGGGATGGCAAAGGTAGAAAAGTGAAGAATTTAGCAGCATTGTAATAGAAAAGTAATGACTCCATATTTTGAAATTCTGCCCTAGTCATAGTTTTTTAGGATGATAGAAGTTGTGATATTTAAATCGTATTTCATTTTATTTTAAAAATATATTTAAAATATTTATAGAAAAATTAAAATAAGCACATCTTTCTGAAAGAGCCTGTGATTGAAGGCTCATATGTAAATCCTTCCGGTTCTTTAAAATAAGCATTCAGGCAATGATAAATTGTCTTGATGACTGAAAGCTATCACCCCCTTCCCATACTATCACAGTTCCAAAATCTCTTAGAAAGTCGTTGAAAGAGGCATTTTCAGAAAATGTAACAGTGTGGAAAGATCTATTCGAAATGTAAAGAGAAACTATTTTAGCCAGACATTTATACTGCATGTGCTTAACAAAAGCATGGATGTAGATTAACTCTCGTTCTGACAAGGATTAAGTCCATATTTAGACAGAGTTAGCAAATCAAACTTTAGAAAGTGATAGATGCTGTAGGTGAGGAGGAGGTGCAGAATCTATAACATCATAAACTCAGATAAACCTCCAGGTGCGTGACACTATGTACCAACATTTTTCATAATTAAATTAGAATTCAACTTAATTATTTCCTAAGACAAACATTTTATTTAGTTGTCAAATTATTATTGCTGGTAAACCTAAAGACGCAGTATTCGTGGTGTTGTAGTAGACACAGTAGTTTATTTACTACCTTAATTTCTCTGAATAATTCATAGTGATCTTTTACCACAACTGGTTTTATAACTTATTTAAATTACTTTAACATTAGAATATGAATGAGAGCAATTCTTCACATGTTTATTTCAAGGACATTGAAGTTAAAGATGCAACAGAAATAACATCTTAATCACTTCTATTTGGAAAAATCAAAATAAAAATGATACATATATATTAATTTGTAGGAGTTTTAAATTTAACACTTTAAATCTTACAAATATTTTATTTGAAATAAGTAGGAGCATGTGGATGTATTTAACAATAAAATTATTTTGAAAAACTGAGTGTATTATAAAACAGAACTGTGAAATTTTTGCCTAGATAAAAAAACTAAAACATGGCTCTAAATTTTGCTTCTATTTATACTGTACATCAATGTATTCAAATTTCAGCATAAAACATCTAATATACATATGTATGTATATAGATTTAAATTATTGGCCAGGGACGGTGGCTCATGCATGTAATCCCAGCACTTTGGGAGGCCAAGGTGGGTGGATCACCTGAGCTCAGGAGTTCAAGACCAGCCTGAATAACATGACAAAACCTGGTCTCAATTAAAAAAAAAATCTATATAGAAAGATATATAATCAATTATATAGATATGTCTATATATTCATATATAAAGAAGTATATATGAATATAAAAACTGTATATAAGCATTGATCCACAAATTACACTTTTAAAATCTATTATATTTACCGTAGTATCTACAATTATGTCATAATTTACAATTATGAATTCGAAATAATTTTGAAAACCCACCAACAGAAGAATAAAACATGTTGTATGAATGTTTTCAAATATTTGCACCACTTCAAAATAATAAAGTAGATAATTTTGCAAGGCATTTGTTATTAAACGGAAAAAAAGAGAACAGCAAGCTGCAGAGGCAATGAGGCATTTCAATTGAGATTATAGGCTCTGGAATTAGATTAACTGAGCTTGAGTAGTGATTTTGCCACTCGCTAGCTGTCTTAAGGAAACATTTCATAAGCGCTTTGTGGATTGGTTTCCTCATTTTTAAAATGAGAGTCAAAATAGTACTTACCTCTTATGGCCATTGTAAAGATTAAGTGAGTCATTATGTATAGAACAATTATAACAGCATAGATACGAAGTCAGCATTAAATTCATGCTTATTTATTTACACGGAGTGGACTGTTTTATGTTAAAATGCAAAAAATATCACCATGCAAAACTACTTATTTTATATCAACATAGATATGTATTGCAAACATGCAGCAAAATGCCTATGAACATTCATGCCACACTGATGCCAGTGTGTAACTTTTACCATTAAAGACGAGACTGCTTGAATGTTTTACACAGAAAATAAATTTCATACATGATTTTTGTGATTACATTTTAAATACTTTGATACTTATGCTAAATGTAATACTACGCAACTGTGAAAAAGAATAGTATAGATTACATTCATTGAGTTATTGATATGAAAAAGTTCATGCACATATATAATTATGAAAACAAGCAAATGGAAAGAGAGCATTAATTGTATCAATATGAATTCAATCATGTAAAAGTATGTGGTTGTATTTGGGTATGTCATGTTAATGTTAACAGTTAAACTGGTTAGGTGATTTTGACTTATATATATATATATAATTATACACATATTCATATTTTTAGAATCATTTTAGAGTTAACTTTTTTTAAGAAAACACTGTAATGTTGACTTTATTGTGAAATAAAGTAACAATGAGCCTAGTTAATCATGCAGCATCCTGCATTCAAAGCATATATGTTGAGAGCACAGCCAAGGGCCATTGATGAATGGAATAAATTACAAAGATATGAAGATACTTACCCACCACACACCTGGAGTGCAGAGAATTTGCAAGCATCCAAATCATTGCCGCTTACTATTCGAGCCTTAAATGAAGAGTGAGAGAAAAACAAAACAAACAGGCTTTTAGCATACTACAGTTTTATGTACACGAAATCGGGACACAGGTCAACTGCACTACACACGTAACACCTAGTATGACAGATGCTAAGCAGGGTCAGCTCCAAGTCAAAGCTGCTATGTTTTTATGAGTACACGTTTTGAAATTAGCTGTCAGCATTTAAACAAATGCACTGGCAGAGTCCAGGAAAATATGTCATATTCCAAATGCTGTTTGCCCTTAAAACTTGATATGTGCAATAAAGATCATGAATCAGTCAGAAAGGTCATGTTTAGCCAGACTGAAGAAAAGATGCTGTGTTTGACCGTAGCAGACCCCTAGGTTGGCAAGTATAGCTAAGGTAAGCGCAACTGGCAAGGTGTGACCTCTCCATAAATGCAACATTATCAGGGGCACACTTAAAGGACAACCAAATAATGGAAAGCTGGGATAACATGCACATTTCAAAACTAAAACAGAGGAATCAAACAGGTCTAATATGTCACAAACAAACATGTACAAAAGACAAGATCCCTCAGGAGGGAAGAATAAGTATGATTTAAAACCTTTTCATCCACAGAACTGCTATCTGAAAGAGAATCAGGAAAAGAAGGGATAAATGTTAGATGGAGTACTTTTCAAGAAATCGTTCAAACACATACATGAACAGAGTGTTAATATGTTACATTGTTTAAAATTATAAACAAACAGTTTCAAGGTTGAGCACCAAGGGAACAAAGATAGTGGGTTCTCATAATTTAAAGAGCGGGGAAATGTAATAGAATGCTTGAAAAGTATAAAAATGATTACAGGATTTAATGAAAGACAATGTGTCAAATTAAGAAAAGAACACAGTTGAAGAATCAGAAGTCCTGGGCTCCAACTGAAGCTCTGCCACTTACTAGACACATTGGGTAAGCTACCAAACTCTTTGGAGTCAACAGTCTAGATCCAACTCTGAAATACGATCACCAATACTTTGACTAATTGACTTGCAACATTATTGATAGAATCAATTGAGATCAATATTTGGGAAAGTAAACCTCAGATGACTATATAGATTAAAGTTGTTTTATTAAGAGGTTCTTTATTTATGACTTCTCATCTCATAGAGTTTACGAGCTAAAAGATTAAGTTGAGTCCATCTTACAAATAAGAAAACTGATGCCTAAAGAGGTTAAGTGACTTGATTAAGATCACAAAGCTAGTAAATGGCAGAAGAGAGACACAAATCCAGGGCTCCTGATCTCCCATCTGGTGCTCTTTACATCTAATGTTTCAGATGAGCTGAACAAAACAGTGAAGGGGGCTTGGTCTACAGCCTTCAGATGCAATTTAAGATAAATCATAGGGCCAACATTTTCCAGGTCCAACTGCTCACGGGTCCAAGGAGATGGAGAATGGACTACTGCGTCATCATTTTTTAAACACATGTTTAAATTTGCCTGGTCATAGGATATAGTCTATCACTACCTCACATAGTACTATTGCTCTGAAACTCATTAATTCATCTTTGCTTATTAGCATAAAACTGGAGAAACTTCTCTATGGATACAAGCTGGCAAAATGCTAGAGTTGGAGTGACCCTGGAGCTTATTTAGTTCAAACTCCTTCTTTATATAAATGAGCACTGGAAAGATTAAAATTTGTCCAAGGTCATGTAGCTCAATGATGACCCTTACTGATGAAAATCTGAAATGCATTACTTTTCTTAACTCATTAAGTATAGACTGCTTAACTATCATAAGTAAATATTTTGGTGCAGATTTTACAGTATCTCAGGGTTGTATCTTCAAATGCAAAATAGGGTAAAATGTATTGTAAAGTAATAAAAGACAAATTTATGGCCATAATCATTTTAAAATACTATATAAAATAAAGGAAATAAAATTTAGCATTATTGCAGAAGAATAATATACCATATTCAAGAAAATTGTACCCAAAATATTATTTAAAATACTGGAATGACCGGCCAGGCGCGGTGGCTCACGCCTGTAATCCTAACACTTTGGGAGGCTGAGGTGGGCGGATCACGAGGTCAGGAGATGGAGACCATCCTGGCTAACACGGTGACACCCCGTGTCTACTAAAAATACAAAAAATTAGCCGGGCGTGGTGGTGGGTGCCTGTAATCCCAGCTCCTCGGGAGGCTGAGGCAGGAGAATGGCGTGAACCCGGGAGGCGGAGCTTGCAGTGAGCCGAGATTGGCCACTGCACTCCAGCCTGGGTGACAGAGCGAGACTCCGTCTCAGAAAATAAATAAATACATAAATAAATATAATGGAATGACTAATATGATATATCAACTGGCCAGAAATTACATATCTTAATTTTCATAGGGAGCAAAAGTAATTTGATAAAAAATCAAAACCTTCTAGTCATTCAAAACCTCCTTAAAATAGGATTGTAATGGGTCTTCTTTAAGTTTAATATGTTAAAAAAAAGTCTTACTATTACAGTCAGCAATTTATGTCTGAAATAGTAGCATTTCCATCATCATTAAAAGCAAACAAAACTGTCCAAAAGCATCATTTTCATTTATTTCTGAAAATTCCGGCCAATATATTAAAACTAATGAAAATAAACTATATAAATATTAGAAGCCAAAATAGAAAGTTGTTTTTACAAGAATTATAATTTTATATCTAGTAATCAAAACATACAAAATCACATGGAAAACTATTAAACAAAAGAGTCAAAAGAGTAACTATATAGTCAATCGTAAGCAAAATAATAATGTTATTTCCTATATACTAGCAACTAGTTTGGAAAACAATGAAATAAGATCTGATTTCAAATATGCAATATTTTGAATGAGTACTTTGTATTCATTATCTCCCGTTGATATCTGTCTTCCATCTCAACCATCCCACTAAATAAAGGTAATCTTAACAAGGTCATCAATTACTTTTCAGCTGTCAAATCTGGTAATACATTGATTCTTTCAATGTTTCATTCATTCATTGAACACATATTTATTGCCAGTGAACCCTTTTTTGTTCACTTTGACTGCTTTCTTGTCTCCCTGCTGTATTCTTCCCTGAAATCTTTCTAAAAAAGATAAAATTATGTCACTCTCCTTCTTAAAACCCACCAATGACACACAGTGCCCTCAAGAAAGAACATAAAATCCATGTGAAATGCAGTCTCATCACTCATTATATCTCATTCACATAGTAAACTTCAGTCACAATTACATTCTTGAAGTTCCATTTCTGTGCCATGTTCTTTGAAATCTATGTGCCTTTGCATTGCTGTTTCCTCTCTGTGAAACAACTGTTCTCCATCCTCATCGAGTTAACTGCCTGTCATGCCCCAAACTCAGCTGAAGCACAACCCCTCTTCTAGAAACTTGTGACACTTCTCCCTGCTGTCGTCCTGTGTTCAATATTGTGCACTGTGCATTCCTCTTTGCTAATCTTCATCCTTTGGCAGTTTCCTTATCTACAATCCTTTCAGAATTTGAGATCCTTGATGGTAGTCTGTTTTTTAATCTCTTTCTTTTTTCTTTTTTAACTTTTACCACATTCCTGAAATATAGAAGATGACCAATAACCATTTCTTAAATATTGGAATGGACAATTTCAATAAGCTACACCACTTCATGGAATATCTAAAAATCTGAATAAAGGAAAATACTATTTCATTTTTCTATATAGTGATGAAGAATTATAATCTAACAGATTTGCAGATTTGACAGTCAAAATCCTAATAGCAGATTGCTGTAACTTGAAATTTTACCAATTTTAAGTGTAACTAGACTAATAAACAAGTAAAAATATCTAAGATTTTGTAAAAGAAGCATTATAAGATAAATCTATAAAAATATTAATAATTTGTAACAGCTAAAACAGCATAGTCCTGGCAAAATAATAGATTAAAAGTGAAACACAAAATATAATTAAGAAACCCTTATACTCAAGAACTTAATGACTAAGAAAACATTTTTTATTAAAGACAAAGAGAAGCACTAGTCAGTAAATGGTGCTTAGACAATAGGTTAAGTATCTATAATATTCATTTGTATCCTCATCTCATACATATGCCACCAAGTTCCACATGCATTAAATATTTAAATATAGAATAATTAAAGGAAGAAAGACAAGTAAAAAGAGAAAGGAATATTTAATAAACCTATTGAATGAGATTTTTAAATTTAGGCTTAATAGATAATTGACAAGATGCAACGATGGTAAATATGCATACAAATTATCTATTTTACTAAAACAACAACTAATGATTACAAAAGTAACAAAGATTAAAGATATTGATTTTAATAATATTAAAATAATTTCCAAGGCTGTTGAGAATATTATTAATCAAACACTATCATGTGTAGTTGATGAGCATGAAAATTGTAATAATATAAGTTTTTAAAAAAACTTTCAAAACATGTCTATCAATAGGCTGTTTTGACAGGAAAATTCCACTTTTGGAAACTGGTGCTAAGGAAATTATTTTTGTTATGGGTTGAATTGTGTTCCACCTCTCCCAATTTAAATGTTCAAGTCCTAACGTCCAGTACTTCACAATATGGCCTTGTTTAGAAATAGAATCACTGCAGATGGAACTAGTTAAAACAGGTCATAATAGAGTAGGGTGGACTCACAATCCAATACGACTGGTGTTCTTATAAAAAGGGGAAATTTGGGCCAGACATGGTAGCTCACACCTGTAATCCCAGCACTTTGGGAGGGTGAGGCGGGCAGATCATGAGGTCAAGAGTTTGAGACCAGCCTGGCTGACATGGTGAAAACCTGTCTCTACTAAAAATACAAAAATTAGCTGGGCGTAGTGGTGCATGCCTGTAATCCCAGCTATTTGGGAGGCTGAGGCATGAGAATCGCTTGAGCCTGGGAGGCAGAGGTTGCAGTGAAACGAGATTGCGCCACTGTACTCCAGCCTGGTGACAGAGCAAGACTCCATCTTAAAAAAAAAAAGGGGGAAATCTGGAGATAGATGCACCCACAATAAAGATGAGTGATGCTTCCACAAGCCAAGCAACTCTCAGAAACTTGGAGAGAGTTCGCAACAGATTCTCCCCTAGTTCCTTCAGAGGGAGTATGGCCCTGCCAACACCTTGATAGTTGACATCCACCTCCAGAACTCTGAGAAAAAATTTCTGCTATTCTAAGTCACTCAATTTTTGATATTATGTTATAGCAACCCTCGCAAACATATAATTTAAATACTAAAAAGTGTTAAGATTGGCACTGTTTCATTATTTACTACAAAAAAATTGGAAAAGCATACATGATTAAATATAGAACTATGGGTTGAAAATTATGTTCTATGACTTCGATGCACTAACCTGTGACCATTAAAATCAATGCATTTAGACACTAAATAAAAATATAGAAAATGTTTCTGATGTACAAAATAAAAATTAGGAAGTAACCTCATGTTTGAGGTTACTTGAGGTTATAAGGTGACTATGTAAAAACAAAAAGTTATATATAGAAAAAGACTTGAAAAGAATATCACCATAATGTTATTAATCTTCAGTAATAGGTTAATATATTCATTCATATTCTCTTAAATTTTCCAAGATTCTGTTATTTAATAATCATATTGCTTAAAATATTTTAA